CCCCACACACACACCCCGATAGTTCTTTTTAAGACTTAACTTATATACAGTGCACTGTAAAAAGATTTTTTTTGGTTTTTCACCCGGTGTCCGATACTCATATTGGAGTCTGGCTATATCTGGATTCGTGTCGCGTAGGGCCCCACTCGGGGGAAGCGCTCTCTATCAAGGATTTTTCCACTACCCAGAGCTCGAACTCGAGACATCTGGTTAAGGAAAGAGCAGTCTCATCCACTGCACCACATCCTTTGGTGGTCAGTGTAAAAAGTTTTTATATCGCCAAATGTATTTTAGCTTGTTTTAACATGTCAACAACATACCCGGTGTGATTTTACAAGTAAAGTCCAGGGATGGTGGAGTATATGCAAACTTTGTCCCTATCTCGTCGGATAAAAAAAAATAGCGTTTCAAAACAAGTTTGATTGTTTTAACATGTCAATTACCTCATTTTCCAACTCACTAATGTAAGTTGTTATAGCAATTACATGTGCAATTATTTACCTAAATAAAAGTTTTTTTATGCTATCAATATATAGAGGTTAAGCTCTTTTTTTGAAAAATAAATAAAAGGGATTATTAGGTTATTCTTCTCGGTCTTAACTTGGAAATGAAGGCATGAGCTAATTTTGTGGAGTTCTAATGTTTGTTAGATTAAGAACAGAGATAATGTCAAATTGTAGTGTTGAGAGCTTTGCATAGGATCAACTTGTAGTCTTGTTGACTGTTGACATTGTAGTTTACAGGATTTTATGGATAAATTGCTAGTGGTAATAATTATAAATCTAATCTGACAATCACTGAATTCAAAGCCAAGAAAGATCTTTGACTAGTAAGTGAATTATCACAATTTGCACAACGATTAACGAGAAAGGTATAATGATTTTCCTATATATGTTTTTATAAAAACATTCCTTAAAATTACCAAATTGTAATTTTTGCTTCATCGTTTTGTATAAATCTTGGTGTGAATTAATAATTCCGAGCACCCTCCCCCCCACGCACCCCTTTTTGTCCCCACCCCACCGTAAAAAATGAAAATGCAATCTTTATTCTAATTTCTGCTCTCATTTTCCAAAGGCATACTACCTCCAGTCATATTATTTATTTATACACTCAACAACAACGACATCGGCCCCGTATAATCTCACAAGTGAGGTTTGGGGAGGGTAATATATATGCAGACCTTACCCCTACCCAAGGGGCAAAGAGGTTGTTTTCAGGAGACTCATGGCTCAAGAAAGCAATAAGAGACGATATATTAGTACCACCAAAAGACTCATAATAAAATAACATCAATATATGAGATATGAAATACGAAATACGAAATACGAAATAGATGAATGGTGTAGTAAAAACCAGTAGATAAAGTCAAAAGTCATGCATCAGTAGACGACCAATAGCATTCTCAGACTAACTCCTAACTGGCTAGTCTCACTCTATTGTGTTGTTGAAATATTCCTTAAGAAAAATACTTAGTAGCCTTAATTATATGAATATTTGTTCAAACTGTCCTTTATCTTTCCTTGAGATGTCCCACCTAATAAATATATATATATATATATATATATCAAAAAGATTAATAGTATTATTCAAATTGAACAGTTTTTTTTTTTTTGGGGAAAATGAATATGATAGGCTAGTATAATGAAACCAAGAAAATTGAAAAGGTTAGGCAAGTTAGTTTGGTATCACATCATGAACTATAATGGACTGATTGACGGCAAAAAGGACAGATAAAATAGTCAAATATATATATAATGACCAACTCATGAATTCACAGGTTCATATTTCTCCACCAAACACCAATGCCTTTTTGTTTATACTTTATAGGCCAAACCCACAAATTATGTGCTACT